TACTCTAGTTCAAGACTCTATATATGATGTATTCCTAAATGTTGATGTCATACAGAATTCTAATGAAATGTCTGAAGAAGCATACACTTTACTTGATGTTCTCTCCCCATCAATTGGTGAAGCTGCTGAGAATTTCTCACAACCCCAAGGTGCCACTGATACATTACCTATTGCAATCAGAAAACAACCTAGAACTACAGGTCCATCAAGGTGGATGTAGGACTTTGTTTCAACGTCCTCTACATATCCAATGTCAAACTAGCTGAACTATGGTAGTTTGTTCTCTTCCTATGCAAAATGTCTCTTATCACACTCTTTAGTTGTTGAGCCAAAACACTATTCTGATGCTGCAAGAGATGCTAGATTGATGACAGCCATGCAACAAGAAGTGGAAGCCTTAGAAAAAAATAACACACGGGACATTGTTGACTTGCCTGCAGAAAAGATTCATATAGGTTATAAATGGGCGTACAAGGTTAAGTACAAAACTAATGGGGAGGTAAAAAGGTTCAAGGCCAGACTTGAAGCCAAAGGCTTTAGTCAAAAAGAAGGCCTGGACTACAAGGAAACCTTCTCTCTAGTGGCCAAGATGGTCACTGTTAGATCAGTCATTGTTGTGGCAGCCTCTAAGCATTGGCACATCTATCAAATGGATGTGCATAATGCTTTCTTACAAGGGGATCTCTTTGAAGAGGTATATATGCAACTTACAAACGGATACACTACCAAGGGGGAGTCCAATACTAAAGTCTATAAACTCAAGAAGTCACTCTATGGCCTGAAACATGCTTCCAAATAATGGAACCTAAAGTTGACAGAGGCTCTTCAAGACCTGGGCTTTGTTCAAAGTCATTTTGACTACTCTCTATTTGCAAAACAAATAGGCTCAACCTTAGTCATTGTTTTGGTCTATGTAGATGACCTTTTGGTCACCGGCAATGATGCAAGTTTGATTCAGACTGTTAGAGCTAACCTATATAAGAAGTTCAAGATGAAGGATTTAGGGGAAACTCAGGTTCTTTCTGGGCATATAATTTGCTCGGTGTAATTGGTATCATGATGAACCAAAAGAAATATGCCCTTGATTTGATTGCTGACTCTAGGCTGGGGGGATCTAAACTAGTATCTACCCCATTAGAGTGCAATCAAAGGCTGACAACAACAGAATTTGATGAAGCTGTGGTGTGCACAAGTGTAGATGACAACATTCTGGGTGATCCTGAACCTTACAAAAGGCTGGTAGGAAGGCTTCTATATTTGACCATGACTAGGCCTACTTTAGCTTATGTTGTCGAAGTTCTAAGTCAATTCATGCATAAGCTAAAGAGATCTCATATGGATGTAGCCTTAAGGGTGATCAAGTATGTAAAAAATGCACCAGGATTGGAACTGTTAATGTCTTCACAGGGGTCAAACAACTTGGTTGGATGCTATGACTCTGATTCAACAACATGTCCATAGTCTAGAAAATCTGTCACAAGTTACCTCGTTAAGTTTGGAAACTCCTTAGTTTATGTAACGACACGACCGATCACATTGAGCCCTAGTACGTCATTTGGCATTTTGAGGCCATGAATAGCTTCACTTCAGGTATTATGACTTGTACGCATGGTTGGAATTGAATTTGAGGAGTTCAGAGTTAATTCGGAAAGAAAATTCTCATTTCGGAAGCTTTAAGTTGGGAAATTGACTAATTTGTGATTTTCGAGTAAACAACCTCAGAATCGGGATTTGAAGGTTCCAAAGGGTTCGTATGGTGATTTTGGACTTGGGCTTATGTCCGGATCGAGTTTTGGAAGACCCGGGAGCGTTTCGACGCCTATTGTGGAAGTTGGCATTTCGGAAGAATTTTGTAAATTTGGGTTGAAGTTCATTTCAATGTTATCAATGTTTGTTTGGGATTCCAAGTCTGGGAATAGCTCCATATGGTTATTATAGTATTGGGAGCGCGTCCAAAATTGATCGGAGGTCCATTGGTCATTTTGGAGTCATTTGGCGAAAGTTAGAAATTTGAAGGTTTTTGAGAAGTTTGATATGAAGTGGAGTTTTTGATAATGGGACCAGATTCCGATTCAGGGAGGTTGGAGTAGGTCCGTAATGTCTAATGTAACTTGTGTGCAAATTTTGAGATCAATAGGACGTGATTTGACAGGTTTCAGCATCAAATATAAAAATTTGAAGTTCTAAAGTTCATTGAGAATGAATTAGAGCGTGATTCGTGATTTCAACGTTGTTTGATGTGATTTGAGGCCTCGAGCAAGTTCATAAGGTATTTTGGGACGTTTTAGTATGATTAGTTGAGGTCCCGAGGGCCTTAGATGGAGTTTGGATGTTTAACAGATCGAAATCCGACTTGGGGGATCTGCTGAAGATGCTGTCATGACTGTTGCTGGTTTCCTTATACTAATGGAAGCTTGCGATAGCGTAGAGTTGTTTGCGGGCGACTATGAAATGTTCTATGCGGTTGTGATTATGGACTCGCGGTCGCGGTACCGTAGGTAGTTGTGCTACGCGAACGTGGCTGTGGAAACGCGTTGGCGAAGAAGAAATGAGGGATGGCCTGATGCTACGCGTTTGCTCATTGCGATCGCGTGAGTATGACTGCGATCGCAAAGTGTTGGGTTGTATAACATCACATTCGTGTGGGCTTGTGTGCGATCGTGAAGAGGAAAATGTGGAGGCAGTGTGCTTAGCCTTCACGATCGCGAAGGAGGGCGAACCTGGGCTGGGCAGAATGTTTTAAAAGCAGGGTTTGAGTTTATTTCACCCATTTTTCACACGGTTTGGGCGATTTTTTGAGCTTTTAAAGAGGAGATTTCATCATCAAATGTGAGGTAAGTGATTTATACTAGTTGTGAGTTACATACAAGGTTTATATATGGATTTAGACATGAAAATCTGTAGAAATTTGGGATTTTGAAGAAAAACCTAGAAATTGATATTTTTGAATTTTGACCGCGAATTTGGAATAAATCATATATTTGAGTTCGTTCGGTTATGGATAAAGTTTATCTTCAAAAATTTTCAGAATCCAGGCACGTGGGCCTGAGGGTAATTTTTATCGACTTTTTGAACGGAGTTTAAAATTGATGTAAATAGGATTGTAATGAGTATTTGAGAATATATTTATAGGTTTGCACAATTATTGACTAGTTTTGGAGCGTTGGGCACCGGTTTGAGTCGTTGGAAGGGCTTGGGAGCCGATTATGAAGCTTCAGAGCGAGGTAAGTCTCCTTTCTAACCTTGTAAGAGGGAATTAACACCATAGGTGAAATAATTCAATATGTGCTTCTATTTGTGGGGGGCTACGTATGCTTGAGGTGACGAGAGTTTGTGTGTAACTACTATTATGCTTAAGTCCGGGTAGCCTAGGACCCAAAAACATGCTATACTTGCGATATTTGTAACTTTATGGTCAATTTAAATTGCTTAAGTCATATCAAAATTGGTAAATGAATTTCTAAAAGGTTAAACTTTATTTTCTTGACCGTTAAAAGAGGATTGACATTTTCTTGGATAATTGCTCCTTGATGAGTTCTTGATTGACTGTTTGATTGTGTTTTCTTTTTGTGGAACGTGTTGAACATCTCAGCAGATTAAATAGATGCATCTATGGTTCACGCTGTTCGACTCTCCGGCAGTGCACATTTTAAATATTATGTTGGATCGCTTCATACGACCTCGACATGATTTGCGCATGATTTGATTGATTGTTTTGGAATTATTGATAATTCATGTGGCCTAATTGGCCAGATATATAAATTGTTAAAAGATGAAAATAAATTTGGAAATCTCTTATTAGCAAAAGAATCGTTTACCTGCTTCATATTATTGAGTTTACAGTCGCCTTAAAAAAATCCATAATTTAGCATATTATCGGTATATTATTATTGGCCATAGTAAGTGTCGGAGTCGACCTTTCGTCATTACTTCTTCGAGATTAGACTGGATACTTACTGGGTACGCGTTGTTTTCGTTCTCATACTACAGTTGGTGTACATTTTGTTGTACAAACACATGTATGTCTAGTAGCCTTGTGGGCGCAGCAGCGTGATTGATACGGGGACTTAGGTGAGCTGCATCTTATAAGATGCAGAGTCTCCTTCAGAGTACTTGTATTTTCTTTTCTATCCAATTTGTATTCCGGACAGTTATTGTATTTTATCTTATTTCCTAGTAAATGCTTATGCACTTGTGACACCGGGTTCTAGGATGATTATGGGATATTCAGTATTGAAACTGGAAAACATTATTATTATTATGTAACATTCATCTTTTACTAGTTAAATCAAATTAAAATTTATGATTTCAGAAATATTAAAATCAAAATTAATTAATTATTTAATGTTGGCTTGCCTGACAGTGATGTCCGGTGCTATCACGACCTTTAACAGATTCTGAGTCGTGACAGTTTCTTGGAAATCCAAGAAGTAGAACACAGTTTCTAGGAGTCCAGCAGATGTAGAGTTTAGGAGTATGTCCTCCACTATTGCAGAACTTTCATGGTTGGTTGGGCTATTCAAAGAGCTGGGAGTTACAGTTCAACTACCTATAACCATGCATTGTGACAGTAAAACAGCTATTCAAATAGATGCCAATCCTATCTTTCACAAACGCATAAAACACATTAACATTGATTGCCACTTTGTGAGAGAAAAACTACAGCAGGGCCTTATTCAGGCTCAACACATCAACACCAAAGCACAATTGGCAGATATCCTCACTAAGGGTCTCGAAAAGGCACAACATTATTTTTTGCTTAGCAAGCTGGGGGTTGAAAACTTGTTCTTACCCTCCATCATGAGGGAAAGTGTTGAGATTAGTAATGATAGTGGTGGTTAGCTTTGTTAATTATCAATTGTTAGTTATAACTAACTTAGACTAAACTAGAGTTAAAGTAACTAGAGTTAGCTTTAGTACTAACTGTAGTTAGATTAGTTTTTACACATTATATATACACATGTATAGATATATTTTACACTTGGAATGAAATATTACACTTTCCCTCTCCTCGTCAAGAATATTTCCTAAGATTTATTCTCTACGACCTTCTTCTTCTTCAGCTAACAGAGTAATTCAGCTCAATCACCAAGGCAGAGCTCCAGGTGAATTCAACAGAAAAAGATGGTTCTTCAATCATAGGTAAGCAAACGAAAGGGAGATTTGGTTTAAAAGCAAACTTACCGTAATAAGCAAAGAAAGTAGTGAGGAAAAATAAAATGATGATTAATGATGGTTCCTTTCAGGTACCCATTTCACGTTTTTTAGTGTTTAAAACATGAGTGGTTTAAATTAAAGGCAAATCCAAGATTTAAACTTTATGGCTTCTATCTTTAAATTTTTTATCATTGAACTTAATAGATTGAAAGAGGAGATGGTGATTGTGGTGCAATCTGAAGAAGGTAGAGGTTGTAGTTGTGGTGATTGTCAGATCTGAAGACGGAGGAAGTGGTGGTAGTGATAATGGCCAGACTTGAAGAGAAGGGGTTGTAGCCGGAGAAGAAAAGGTAGCTAGTCACCAGCAAAAATTATTTTCAGGAAAAACTAATCATTTTCTGGCAGTAATATAAGTCTTAGGTTGTTCACACGCTTGGAAAAGGTGATAAAATTATATAGTTACGTGTCAGCAAAATGTATTTAATTGTGTGCAACATTAAATGTTCAATAAGTAAAGGTTACAGTTAAAGTGTCTAACTGAAATTTTGTGACAAATTTAAGGGTCGCCTATGTATTTGGCCTAGGATTAAACTTGAGGCTTTTAAACTTGCTATCAGATTTGGGAATTCATAGTGCTTAGGAGACTAATTTTCCAACCAACATCCTTAAAAATCCTAATAATTAATCATGAGACTAATTAAGGCATCACTCTCCCTAATTCTTCCTTCCCTATTGGTAGCTACCAGTAATCAGGGTTCTTAACTCCTAATAACCAGTTTGAAAAATGACAAAAAAAGATCTAATAATTAAAAGAGCAAGACAAAATTTAGTCGTACTATGCTTCATTAAAAAGATGTGTGAATACTATATTTTCTTAGTAGTTTGGTGAAACAATCCCATCTCTTGCAAAACACACAAAAAAAAAAAAAAAAAAAAAAAAGAAGACAAATTAAAAAAAGAATTAGCTGGTTCCCACGATCCATATGGGTCATCTTTTAAAGCCTTTTTTCGGTAATTAAATTTTATTACCTGGGCAAAAGGTATTTACAGTTAGATACAAAAAAAAAACCTTAAAAACTGGAGAATACTCCAACTTCATTGGTCACCTATCCAGATTTTCCAGCTTAACATTTTGCCTGAAGTTACTTTACACCATATCATACACAATAATTTCTGACTATATTCTTAGGTGAACTGGAGAAAACTATATCTTCTTAGTAGTCTGCTTTGGTTTCATAATTCATATTCTTTTATCTATTTTGGATAAATTTCTAAGTATCATCATTAATTTTCTCAATTTCAGTATTGCTAACAAAATTATGTTTGGAATTAGGATATTGAACTCCAAATAGTTGTGCTATCTCTATCTCTTTTTTTGGAAATAGGAAAATTTTATTCATTACTGAGTACTAACGTTACACAAGGATGTTGTCCCATTGGGATAACAGTTTATGATCCAAAAATTAGATATAGGTTTTTATACAATCAAATTTATAGAAAAGAAGGGTTAATCACAGCCAATATTAATATTTAATAGCAGATCTAGCACTTTTATGGCGGATATTTATTGTATAGTATTAGATATGATTATCTTGAAGCAATGATTCAGTAAAATTCTATAAACGTAAAAGATAATAATAAATGATAATAAATGACTTTTGAGTAATAAATGAGACAGAATTCACCTGACAAGGGTGGGATCTTCAAATATGTTTTCTGACAGTGATGAATGATGATAAGCAGTTGAATATTTTGATTCTTCTTGGATCGGAATAGAAGAGTCAAAGAAAAGAAGGTGTAAAGTTAGGCTTTGTTTCTATCCAATAAAACGAGTATCTTGCACAGAGAATGTTGATGATTTTCTTTACAAAAAGATCTAATCCCCTTTTTTCATCCACATCTTTTTCTATTTATATAAACACATATGTTTCTAATCTCTAGATAGTACAACAGAAGAAATATATATTAGAATATTCTCTAGGTAATCTAAATCCTAAAGCTGGTCGTCACTTTGTATAGAAAGCCAATGCTCGTCCTCGTCCTCGTCTTTTGTTGAATAGTTTTGATTTTTGACCCCGACTTATTTTCTGCATCTGACCTCGACCTCTTGGAGTGAGGTTGACACGTCACAGCCTTCAAAGGCCCTATTGCCGTTGATCTGGTCAAATATCTAAGATGATGTTTTCGCCCTTATAGTTAGTCCCTCCGCTTGCTGAGGTCATCCTTAGGGACGAGCTTGATAAGTAGATAATAGCGGGTGTGGTCATCATCAGAGGCGGATGGCATGGCATTTTGTGAGTCATATGTTTCAAACTCTTGTCGTCTTAATATTCCCGGGTGATTTTTGGAGAGAGCCTGACATGGTAGAGATGTGACATCATTCATCATGATGACGTCTGTTCCTGATGCGTCACGTCAATACATAGGTAGCTTGTGGATTGGTTCTAACGTTTTGATTGCGGCTGCCATTGTGATGCATCGCTTCGAATCCTGAGACTCCTCCTTTATAAATAGGGGGATGATCACCGCAATTCGAATTCTTTCTTTACTTCCATTGCCAAAGCTTTCTTCATCTCCTTCTTAGACTCTATTTCTCTGTTCATTACTCCTAAAGTTTTTCTCCATTTTCTTAACTCTTTCCCTTCCTAAATTCCCCAAACTTCACAATCATGTCTAACTTGTCTTCTAATGTTTGGGGCGGAGAGGTTTTTTATATGAAGAGGAGATTTCGGCTACCTCACTGGCTGTTGCAGCCTTCATTCGCAGAGGAGACGCCACCACCGTCGTTGAAATAGAAGCCCTTCTCTCAATAGAAGAAATTATTCCTTTCAATCCCGACGCGAAACTGGACTTGCAATGGCAGCAAATGGCGGTGAGTGAGGTTTTTCGATCCTCTCTAACAACCAAGTATTTGGCGGAGTTCAAGGATAAGTATGGCCTTCTTAACCAAGTGGAGCTTGTGTCGCCGGTGATGATGAAGTGTACACTCATTGTCCGGCCCTCTTTGCCTACCCCTTCACCATTGGATATTCATTTCCTCTTCCCCCTTTGGTTGAGAAATTGTGCCACTATTACAGGGTCTGTCCGGCTTAACTCACGCCCTTGGTTTACAAGGTAATCAAGATACTGTCTAAATCTGTCAAGCTGGATGATGTTGAGATCACTATATGGCATTTGGTGCACATGTTCATGCCCAACTTCTATCGGGCACGATGTTGAGCATTCGACATCGTAGAAGCAAATCCCTGGTCATTAAGATTGACAACAAGTGCAGTCGACAATTTTGGCTCGACTTCTTTTTTGTCAAGACCGAGTCCATAGTGGTTGATGTCACAAACTCTCGTGAGGCTTGGAATCGTGACCGTATGTATCGCTTATCCTTGTTCTCTCATGCAGTTGTACATTTCGACATAATGAGTTAACTCTTCTTGTTTTGCAGCTACTTCTTGGAGTCTTCAGTCGGTGGCGCACCTCGCCGACTGTGTCAGGCAGGTCCTCCCTTGTACTGCGGGGACCAGAGATTGGTATGGCTTTTGGTAGAAGTATAAACTGGCTCCCCTCCCAAAAGATAACATTAATGCATTATTTTCAAATTTGTACTTGGTTTCATTATCTAATTATGTTTGTTTTCGTGTCCCCTTCCAGGCCCTGCCAAGGAGGCCACCAAGAGGAACTTGGAACCAACATCTTCTTTCAGGAGAAGGAGGGGTGTTACCTCCTCTGCGCCTGCCTCCGATTCGACCACTATGATAGTTCTTTCTTCAGCTCCTTCTCAAGTTGAAGAGGAAGAAATTTCGTAGCACGACATAGACTTGGGGCCTCGAAAGAGGAAGGCCATAGATGAGGCGCTGGTGTACTAGCATCGGTTGACTAATCTGAAGTCTCTCTTGATATCGAAGTGCAAAATGCTATGCCAGCCCGAGTCAAAGAACGTGCTGGGGCGGTCCCAGAGGTGCCTCAAGTGGAGGAAGCCGATGTTGCGGCTTCTTTGTGACATGAGGGGGGATGAGGTCGCATGGGGTTCTAAACAAAGATACCATACTTCCTGGGCGCGAGGAGGGTCCATATACTGAATTGGCTCAGGAAACTTTCCCTATTGATAAGGGTAAATACAAGATGCCTGCCGAGCAGGGTGACAAGAAAAATAAGCCCATCAACGATGAATCCATTTCTGATTTCAACCCCGAAGATCATGAGATGATCTAAAGTGGGACGACTCATATCGAGGTAAAGGTACAAGGGGGGTTGAGAACCATCACAATCCTGATAAAACACAACTGACTAAAGAACACCGAGGATGTGGTTCAGGCTTTTTGTCCCTTATGCTTGGAAACCAAGCACAGACTCTCAGGGAACTAAGTGACAACACTCTTTCCAGTAGAATCGCCGCTTTCTCTTTCAGGGTAAGTCATTTCCTTTCTCTCTCTTTCTCTTTTTTTTTGCTTTGGATTTCTTTCGATCCTTACCTTACTTGCCTTTTTTTCATTCTCGTGTAGACCGTTATTTTAGAGATTGAGAGCGTGCAGAGAGAGAAAAGGAGGATGGAGGTCCACCACAAAATGCGGAAGAAGTATGAGGAGTTTTGCGGGTGGTATAGGGAGGCTGAGAGGCGGCTCCGTGAAAAGGGTGACGTACCCGCCCTAAGAGAGGAGCTGCGAAAGAAAGACAAAGAGTTGGTTGTGTCCGTGGAGCGGCTCAGCACTCTTGAAGGGGCATTAAAGAGAAAGGACGAGGAGCTCGAGCTGAGCAGGGGCATAGAAGCTCAATTCCACGACCTTCAGGGTCGGGTCGACCAACTGCAAGGTCAGTTAAGTGAGTGCCAGTTCAAAGTGGATGGGCTCTGGGGGAGGTAGCTGAAAAATAGTAGCTAATTGATGAGGTTGAATCCTCTCGTAAACAAGCTCGAAGAAGGGATGCTCTTGTTGAGTTAGAGAATAAAAGCCTCTGTGTTAACCGGGACAATGTTCAGTCAATGGCTGAAGCTAAGGAGGCTAGACTCAAGGAGAGGAATGACGAGTTGGAGAGAGAGAACACCGAGATGCTTGAGCGAATTTCTGCTGCGGAAAAGCGAGAAGGATGGACTATTCGAACGACCTCCACTTTTCATGCTATGATTTTTCGGCCATTCCGTGAGGGTAGTATGAGGAGTGGATCCTTGCCGAGGTTTGAGTAGAGGTGGTTCGAGAGTTGGGTCAGACGATCTTTGTCTTTGAGACGACCTTGAAGGAGGCTTGAGTTAAAGCTCGTGAGGCTCGGTTGGCGTGCAATTACGACCCCGACATGCCTCAGCCTGATGCAGAGGATGATGATGAAAGAGGCCTCCCTAAGCTTAAAGACAGCGCATGGTGAGACTCCACTTACAACCGAGGCGAGGATGAATAGGGTGATGGAGACCAAGGCAGTGACAATCATTAGACCTTCCGCCCTTGATTTGTTTTAGCTTTTGTAATTTGTACTTTTTCCTTCTCTCTCTTTTAGTTGGCGTATTTGTGTGCCTTTGTAAAGACAACCTCTCTTATCTTTGCATATTTTTGTTTTGGTGATCGTGTGCTTTACTTTTGCACTTCTTTCCTTTGTTGATGCCCTCAGGGTTGCGATGATCGCGTGGTTGGGAAGTTTTACTCAAGAGGGTTGAGTGGCCACATGACGGGGAGTTTTATTTAAGCTGATTGAATATATATCTTTTTAGTTAAGGCGTGGCCAAGGGCCAATAGGTTTTATTCGAGCTGGTCCAACATACTTTTTAGTTGAGATGTGGCCAAGGGCCGAGAGTTTATGTTCGAGCTGGTCGAACGTATCTCTATGTTAAGATGTGGATAGGGGCTGAGGAGTTTTTTTCGAGCTAATCGAGTGTATATCTAAGTTGTGATGTGGCCAGGGGCCGAGGAGTTTTGTTCGTGCTAATCGAATCATACCTCTAAGTTGTGCCATGGTGAGGGGCCGAGGAATTTTGTTCAAGCTAGTCGAGTCATACCTCTAAGTTAAGACGTGGACAGGGGCTGAGAAGTTTTGTTCGAGCTAGTCGAATCATACCTCTAAGTTGAGAGACTTAGGAGAGCAGTTTCTATAAACATGTATCTCATTTATTTCAATAACATTGTATTGATTACATCATTTTGCCAGAGGCTTTTTGGAGAAAATTACAAGTTTTGGGTACTGACTGGCACTTTAGTCCCAATCCCAATATATCTAGTCCCTTCATTGTTCGACTCAGTGATTTTTGAGCGTTCGGGCAATCAAATATGGTTGTTCTCGCATACTTCACCTTGAAATGTCCTGTCCGCTACCTCGTTAAAAACCTCCTTGAGAAAACCCTGTGGGGACAAAACGCAAGTGAGGGAAAAAGAGTACAACTTACGCGACACTCCTTGTTTTTTAGAAGTTGAAGCATTTGAGGTGGTTGATGTTCCAATTGTTCGATAAGAGCTTTCCTTCCAATGTCTCTAGTTGGAGTGAACCCTTGTATGCCTTGCATATGATTTTGTACAGTCTATCCCAATTGGATACTAATTTTCCTTCTCGGGGATCTCTTCCTGCTTGGGTCTTGGCTTTGAGCATGTAGTCCCCTATCTTGAGTAATTGTAATTTGGCCTTTCTGTTGTAGTAGCATTCTACTTGTTGTTTCTATGCGACCATTCATACATATGCCATGTCTCTCCATTTTCCAACTTCATCGAGGTCCTATCTTTTGTTCTCGTCATTGTCATTACCACTCGGTTGTGTACCTTAGGCTGGGTTCTCCTACTTCGACCGGTATGAATGCTTCTAATCTAGACTAAGGAGTAAGGTGTCTCTCTTGTACTCATTTTTGGGGTTATCCTATGTGCCCACAACACTTCTAGAAGTGTCTTCGGCCACATTCCCTTAGCATCTTCGAATCTCTTCTTCAGGATGTTCAAAATCGACTTGTTGGAGGATTCTTCTTGCCTGTTGCCAGCGGGATGGTACGAGGTTGAGAGTATTCTTTTGACATGCCACATTTCGAGAAACTAGGTGGATTTTCTCTCTGTGAATTGGGGTCTGTTATTGTAGCTTATTTCTTTTGTAATGACCCGGCCAGTCGTTTTGAGAGTTAGAGCCCTGATCTCCTATTAACTGCTTTCCCCGTATCTTTTTCTACTATTGTGACTTGCTGGGAAGATTCGTTTTGAGTTTCGGAGTGTTTTGAGACACTTAGTCCCTAAATGGAATTTGAATCTTAGAATTTGAACCACAGTTAGAACTGTGTGAAGACGACTCTGGAATGGAGTTCCCTCGATTCCGTTAGCTCCATTGGCTTATTTTGGGCTTAGGGGCGTGTCCGGATTGTGTTTTTGAGGTATGTAGCTCATTTAGGCTTGAAATGGCGAAAGTCAAATTTTTGGAGTTTTGGGCTGGTAGTGGAAATTTTGCTATAAAGGTCGGAATCCGATTCTGGAAGTTGAAATAGGTCCATAGTGTTGAATATGACTTGGGTGCCAAATTTGGGATTAATTGGATGTGGTTTGATAGGTTCCGACATCGGTACTGGAAACTTAAAGTTTCAAATTTATTATGTTTGGATTGGAGGGTAATTTGTGTTTTTAGCATTGTTTGATGTGTTTTGATGGCTCAACTAAGTTCATATGATATTTTAGGATTGGTTGGTATGTTTGGTTGATGTCCCGGGGGCCTCGGGTGTGTTTCTGATGCTCAACGAATTGATTTGGGACTTATGCAAACTACTAAAGTTGTTGCACCTAGTGTTTTTTACCTACGCACTTTGGGGCCACCGGTGCGGAGCCGTAGAAGCGGATATGGGCCTGGTCCAGCTAGGTCCGCAGATGTGGTGAGGGGTCCACAGAAGCTGAGGCGTAGAAGCTGTTGGGGACCGTAGAAGCGGACTCGCAGGTGCGGCCTAGAGCTCGCAGATGCGGTACCAGCCCACTTAAGTTAATTCCGCACCTGCGATGTAATTTCCGCAGGTGTGACGTTAGCAGGTGTGAAGAAGGGTCCGTAGGTGCGGTTTGACAGGCAGAAAAAGGGCAAAATCAAGGGTATGATTTCATTCTCCATTTTTGGGCTTAGAGAGCTCGGATTGAGGCGAAATTTCGAGGGATTTTCAGAGGAAGCTTGTGGGTAACGATTCCTTACTTGATTTTGGTTGTATTTCATTATTGTTTTCTTCATTTAATCAAGGAATTTGGGTGAGAAAGTTGGGAAATGGGGAAAAAATTCCCCAATCAAATTTTTGAGTTTTGAGTGGGATTTTGACATCAGATTTGGATAATTTTCAGTACGAGTGAGCTCGTGAGTGAATGGGTGTTCATAATTTGTGACTTTTACCCGATTCTGAGGCGTGGGCTCGGGAAGGCTTTTTGGGCGTTTTTCTAATTTCTTGCCTTAGCTTTGATTTCGTTAGCTAGATTAGTTTCTTGTAGCTATATTTATGTTATGTAATTGGTTTTGGCTAGGTTTGGGCCATCCAGAGGCGGATATTCGTAGAAAGAGCATTATTACGGATTGATTTGAGCTCGGTTCGAGGTAAGTGGCTTGCCTAACTTTGTGTGGGGAAACTCCCCTTAGGATTTGATATTGTTTGATATATGAGCGCCATGTACGTAAGGTGACAAGTATGTACACATGCTATTTAATAAAACTTCGTTTTCACTAAGTCATAACCTTTTTTCTCCTTGTTTGAACTACAATAGAATACGTAAATACCTTGTTTAGATTAGAAAAGCATGCCATCGTATTTTAAACACCTATTTAAACTCTCTGCAACATGTTTAGTGAAATTACTTGTTTTCTTTGATGTGAACTTAGCCTAAACTGTAGGTCTCCTTGCTGTAACTGTTGGTTATATTGCTTGAGCTACATATTTACTTTGGGACTACAGAATGGTATTCCGGGAGATCCCCCTGTACTGTAATTTACTTTGGGACCGCGGAACGGTATTTTGGGAGATGCCCCTATACTGCATAGTTACTTTGGGACTACAGAACAGTATTCCGGAGATCCCCAGTACTGCATATTTACTTTGGGATTACGGAACGGTATTGCGAGAGATCCCCTTGCACATTTATGTTTGGGACTACGGGACGGTATTCTGGGAGACCCCCTGTTGCTATAACTGTGTTCTGAGCTGTTGACTTTCATTGAATTTTATTCCTGTTAGATTTTCGTACTTATTTTTCTGTAATATTTTCTTTCTTTCTTATTTCATTATATTTATACTAGTAGGGCTCTGACCTGATCTCGTCACTACTCGACCGAGGTTAGTCTTGGCACTTACTGGGTACCGTTGTGGTATACTCATGCCCTTTCCTGCACATGCTTTCCGTGTGCTGATCCAGGTACTAGCTATCAGCCTCGAGTCTAGTTGTGTGGTTGCTGCTTCATGAGACTTCAAGGTACATCTTCCCGCATCCGTAGACCTCAAAGTCCCCTTCTATCCCCTATGTTCGTTTTATTTTTTTCCTTAGAAATGATGTATAGAACAGTTAGGACTTCTTAGAAGCTTGTGACATTGCGAAATTCTGGGTTTTGGGAAAGATGATTATTGTGTATGCCGAGTGGCACCGTTTCTGCTTATTTATTTTATCTGTTAGCTGTTATCCTTGTGTTTTCATTTCATTTCCGCAATATTAGGCTTACCTAGTCGTAGATACTAGGTTCCTTCACGACAGTTCATAGAGGGAGAAATTGGGTTGTGACAAGTTGGTATCAAAGCTCTAGGTTCATAGGAGTTCTGAGTCACAAGCCGGTTTGTTAGAGTCTTGTGGATCAGTACGAAGCTGTTGGTACTTATCTTCGGGAGGCTATGGAACTGTAAGGAAAATTCCACTTCATTGATTCCTTGTGGTGCGAGATTATTGACTTCGAAATTCTAAACTTCTATATTCTATTCTCCCACAGATGGTGAGGAAACGTGCTACCAGAGATGACCAGGCACCCGTGCCCCCTGCTGCAGCCGGCCGAGGCCGGGGCCGGGGTAGAGGCCGAGGACGTGCATGCGGTGTAACTAGAGCACCCGCACGAGCTGCTACAGAGGAGCCACCAGTAGCTCCAGCCGGAGCACAGGAGCTGAAATGCCTACTACTACTACTACTGTAGCTCTTCAAGAGACCCTTGCACAGTTCATGAGCATGCACATCACTCTAGCTCAGGCAGGGTTGATTCTCCTTACTGCAACCATATCTCAGGGCGGGGGAGGAGCTCAGACTACCGTCGCCTGCACCCCAGAGCAGCGGGTTTAGGTTGATCAGTTCCTAGAGGTTATACTAGTGCCGCCTACAGTACCAATTCAGCCCGAAGGTAGGACAACAGCTTCAGAGGAGGAGCAACGGAGGCTCAAGAGGTACAAGAAGTATGACCCTCCTATATTCAGTGGTCTAGTATTAGAGGATGCTCAGGGATTTTTGGAGGAGTGCCACCGTATCCTCTGCACTATGGGCTTAGAAGAGTCGAGTGGGGTTTCTTTCACTACCTTTCAGCTTCGAGGAGTAGCCTATCAGTGGTGGCGTACTTATGAGTTAGATAGTCCGACTAAGGTAGCTTCCCTTTTATGGACTCAGTTCTCGAACATATTTTTGAGAGAGTATATCCCTTAGAGCCTTAGGGATGCATGGTGCACAGAGTTTGAGTAGTTGCGCTAGGGTTCTATGACTGTTTCAGAGTATGCAGTCTGTTTTAGTGACTTGGCTAGACATGCACCAGCCTTGGTTTCTATAGTTCGAGAGAGGGTTTGCCGGTTTATTGAGGAGCTCATTCCCAGCATCAGGACTAGCATGGCATATGAGTTAGAGATGGATATCGCGTATTAGCAGTTGGTGAGTATTTCTAGGAGTGTAGAGGGCATGCTTGCTCGGGATAAAGAGGCGTGAGAGGCCAAGAGGTCTCGAGAGTCGGGCCATTATTCTTGTGCCCATGCCCCAGCTGTAGTTCGTCATGGTAGGGTTATGTGTCACCCCATTCATTCAGCTCTTCCAGCCACCAGTGGTATTCCAGTTTCTCCCAGACCTCAGGAGCCTTATTATGCACCTCTAGTATCTAGTGTGCCTCCTGCACGGGGTGCTTTCAGTGGTCAGTCTAGCAGACCTGGTCCGAGCCAGCCACATCTTCCATACCCCCAGAGCTTGTTTTGAGTGTGGTGACACTTGTCATATGGTGAGGGATTGCCCCAGAATTAAGAAGGGTGCACCTCCACAGACTTCTCAGCTACAACGTGCTCCACAGGGTTCCTAGGCTATGATTACGGCACTAACTGCCACCCCACCTGCCCAGCTAGCTCGAGGTGGAGGTTGGGGAGGTAGAGGTCACCCTAGAGGGGGAGGCGAGGCTAGATACTATGTCCTTCCTGCTCATATAGAGGTTATTACTTCCGATTCTATCATTACAAGTATTGTTCCGGTCTGTCATAGAGATGCATCGGTTCTATTTGATCCCGACTTCATTTATTCTTATGTGTCATCTTATTTTGCCCCACATTTGGGTGTATCTCAGGATTTATGAGTTCGCCTGTTTATGTATCTACTCCTGTGGGAGATTCTTTTGTTGTGGACCGCGTTTATCGGTCATGTTTGATCATTCTTGGTGGTTTTGAGATGAGACCGATTTATTATTACTCAGCATGGTAGATTTTGATGTTATCTTAGGCATGGACTGGTTGTCGCCCCATTATGCTATTCTTGATTGTCATGCCAAAATTGTGACGCTAGCTATGCCAGGTGTACCGCGATTAGAGTGGAGGAGTACCTTAGACTACACTCCCAGTAGAGTTATTTCATTTCTTAAAGCTCAGCGAATGGTTGAGAGGGGGTATGATGCGTATCTAGCTTATATGAGAGATGCTAGTATTGATACCCCTACAGTTGATTCAGTCCCAGTAGTGGGATTTCCCTGATGTGTTTCTAGCTAATCTTTCGGGCAAGCTGCCCGATAGAGATATTGATTTTGGCATTAATTTGTTGCCAGACACTCTACCCATTTCTATTCCTCCTTATCATATGACCCCTCCTAAGTTGAAGGAGTTGAAGGAACAGTTACAGGAATTGCTTGATAAGCATTTCATTTGGCCCAGTGTGTCACCTTGGGGTGCTCCTATCTTGTTTTTGAAGAAAAGGGATGGTTTTATGCGTATGTGCATTGATTATCGCTAGTTGAACAAAGTTATAATGAAGAACCGATATCCTTTGCCTCGTATTGGTGACCTATTTGATCAGTTACAGGGTGCCTGAGTGTTTTCCAAGATTGATTTGCGTTCAGGTTATCATCAGTTGAAGATTTGCGAGTCAAATATCCTGAAGACTGCTTTCAGGACTCGTTATGGTCATTATGAGTTCCTTGTTATGTCATTTGGGCTGACCAATGCCCCCAACAACATTTTTGCATTTGATGCACAGTGTATCTTGACTCGTTCATCATTATTTTTATTGATGACATTCTGGTGTACTCCCGGAGTCGGGAAGATCATGAGCAGCGCCTGAGGACTGTGCTTCAGACCTTGAGAGAGAAGAAATTATATGCAAAGTTCTCAAAATGTGAGTTCTGGTTGGATTCACTACCATTTTTGGGTCACGTAGTATCCAGTGAAGGGATCAAGGTAGATTCGAAGAAGGTAGAAGCAGCGTAGAGTTGGTCCAGGCCGTCCTCAGCTACATATATCCGGAGCTTTCTTAGATTGGCGGGCTATTACCGTTAATTTGTTGAGAGATTTTTGTCTATTACAGTACCTATGACCAGGCTTACCCAGAAGGGTGCTCCATTCAGGTGGACGGAAGAGTGTGAGGAGATCTATCAGAAAGTCAATACAGTTTTAACTACAGCCCCAGTATTGGTATTGTCTTTAGGTTCGGGGTCTTATACAGTTTATTGTGATGCATCACGAGTTGGCCTCGGTGTGGTATTGATACAGTACCGTAGGGTGATTGCCTACACATCTAGGTAGCTGAAGGTGCATGAAAAAACTATCATGTCCCTGACCTTGAGTTAGCTGCTATTGTTTATGCCTTGAAGATTTGGAGTCACTATTTGTACGGGGTTCCTTGTGAGATCTATACTGATCACTGGAGTGTGCAACATCTCTTCAAGCAAAAGGATCTTAATTTGCATCAGAGGAGGTAGTTAGAGCTGCTTAAGGATTATGATATCACAATTTTGTACCACTAGGGGAAGACCAATATGGTGGCCGATGCTTTGAGTCGTTGGGCAGAGAGTTTGGAGAGTTTAGCTTATCTACCAGCAGTAGAGAGGCCCATGGCATTAGATGTTCAGGCCTTAGCCTGCCAGTTTGTGAGATTGGATATTTCTGAGCCTAGTCGAGTATTGGCTTGTGTGCTCTCCTGGTCCTCTCTTTATGATCGTATTAGGGAGCGTCAGTATGATGATCCCTATTTGCATGTCCTTAAGGACACGGTCTAGCACGGTGATGCTAAAGAGGTCACTATTGGGGATGATGGTGCTTTGAGGATGTAGGGTAGGCTTTGTGTGACTAATGGGGACAATTTACGTGAGTTGATTCTTCAGGAGGCTCATAGCTCATGGTACTCTATCCATTCGGGTGCCTCGAAGATGTATCAGTACTTAAGGGAGCATTATTGGTGGAGGATGATGAAGAAAGATATTGTGGAGTATGTTATCAGTCCAGCATTCAGATGGCACCGTATGAGGCTCTGTATGGTAGGCGATGTTGATCCCCACTGGGTTGGTTCGAGATGAACGAGGCTAGATTATTGGGCACAGACTTTGTTCAGGACGCCTTGGAGAACGTTAAGGTGATTCAAGATAGACTTCGCACAGCCCAGTCTAGACAGAAGAGTTATGCGGACCAGAAGGTTAGCGATGTTTCATTTATGGTTGGAGAGCGGGTCTTGTTTTGGGTTTTGCATATAAGGGGCGTTATGAGATTCAGAAAGAGGGGCAAGTTGAGCCTAAGGTTTATTGGTCCCTTTGAGGTGTTGCAGTGTGTTGGGGAGATTGCTTATGAGCTTGCGTTACCTCCCAGCTTGGCAAGAGTTCATCCGATATTTCATGTTTCGATGCTCCGGGGGTATCACGATGATCCGTCTCACATGTTGGATTTCAGCTCAGTCTAGTTGGCAAGCATCTATCTTATGTTGACGAGCCAGTGGCATTGGATAGGCAGGTTCGAAAGCTGAGGTCAAAGAACATTGCATCAGTAAAGGTTTAGTGGCGGGGTCAGCGGGCCGATGAGGTGACTTGGGAGACCGAGCAGGATATGCGTAGCCATTATCCCCATCTTTTCACCACTTCAGGTATGTCTCTATGCTCGTTCGAGGATGAATGACTGTTTAAAGAGGGGGAGGATGTAACGACTCAGCCAATCGTTTTGAGAGTTAGAGCCCCGATCCCCTATTAACTACTTTCCTCATATCTTTTTCTACTATTGTGACTTGCCGGGAAGATTCGTTTTAAGTTTCGG